TAAAAACTGTGCTTTTAATTTTATCGTCAAAGTTCGATTATCAATAAATATAAGATGATAACTTTAGAGAAGAAAATGTAATTTTACGGCATATCTAAGATATATAGCATTACAAATATGCATACTTATTTATGCAGCATTCATATAACAAAAAGTATATTATTCAAATATTTATAATAATAATCATAAATTTATATCAATTAATAAAAATAAATGAGAAACATACGCTGGGTTTTGGTATCAAAAAGTTATTACTTTTATTATCTATATTTTTAAACTATTTATAATTATTTATTTGTTCATATCAATTGTTGGTAATGTCATCGTTCTTCAATTACCCCCGAATCCTTATTGTATTGTAGTACAAATGTAGTCACGAAAATTTTCCCAGAGTTGGCAATTTTTAATAATATCTTGTCGATAATACGAATTACAATACAACCAAAATTATCGCACTGACTATGGATTGCAAAATTTTTTTACAGAATTATAATAATTAACACAGATATTAATTATAATTAATTATAATTGTAACAGCCTGAAGATCTTATAGAAAAAAAGCAGACGTAACTTTTTCAAAGTATTAATTTGTATTTTCGACTTATCTGTAATTATCATTTTAAAGAAGTGATCTTTCCACAAAAAGCGAAAAATTCACCCATTTTCGTTGCATTCGATGTTATCACTATGAAAATTTATATGAAAAAGCTATAAATTTTAAAGAGAAAAGTATAAATTCAACAATTAAAGCAAGAAATTTAGTACGGCTGTTTAATTACGTGATCAAATGTTTCAATTTGGAAGTTCAGTTTTCTGGAATTCTATCGATTAACAATGTCTTGGACAACAATATATAGGACACTACGGTTTTTTAAATTTCGCTAATTTCTTATTCTAAAAATGCGTCAAGAAGTATCTGTGTAAGAGTGTGCCTCTGTTTCTCGAGTGTCTACGGAGAAGAGGTAAACGTCGCTGGAGGTGAAAGGGGCTCAGGCTTACGTAGATGAAAAAAAAGACGGTATACGCGAGCAAGGAAGGGAGCGAGACATCGAAGTGGAAACGCGATCGCGCGGAATATCGCAGCGGGTTTACATGGAGATGGAGGAGAGTCAAGAATGGATTCGAGAAATGGCAGAGAGCCGAAGGCCCAAAGAGGGGACTCTTAACGGTAAAGCTGCGGTAACCTTACTGGCGACTTTGCGTCACTGACCACGACTGACGTGTTTTTTCCTTGAGCTGATATCCGCGAAGGTAGAGTCCTTCTCTTCAAATTTTGTAGAATTAAGTTTGACTGTTGACCAAAGAATTCCAGAGTTCCTGATGCGTTTTAGTCAAGAGGCTTTTAATCATATTCGATAATATCTTGAAGTGAAGTCTAGAACTCCTCTGAGAGAAGACCAGATTTTCGAAAAATATTTTGATTTGTAGGAATTGTAAATATTTCCATCGAGAGAATTTAAAATTGCGTCAAAGACTTTTAAGATTATTTTAATTTATTGATATCCTTTTGAAATTCTATTTACATTTATAACAGAAAAATGTATAAATGCAATAAATACAATTACATTCCGACACGAATTTTAGAATTGGATAAAGTGATTCTTATAGATTTTTTGTTGTTGAAAATTTTTTATTATAGATTTAAATTTCCTTTTTTTCAGTGTAATTGTTTCTTCTTTTATAAAATAGCATAGTATTGTCTTTTATACATTTTTTTTACTAAAGACAAATCCATAAATAAAATACTTTAGCTTAAAGGTAGCTTAAAGGTCGAAAAATGCCATTTTCAGCACTATTAGGCTGTCATATCAATTTTCTCAAAAACGTGACAAAACAATTTTATTTACAGATTCATTTTCAACAACACTGTCTATAAAAATTATTTTATCTCATTCGTACTCTAAAAAAATAGTCTTATATTTGTCGGTTTGACAGTAGTCATTATTATTATTATTAATCTTTTTTAATTAAAAAAATAATTTTATCGTTTTTATATTTTTCTGTTTTGTAAGTCTAAATAGAATTTTATTCGGAAGGATTAAATAAATTATTAAAATAATCTTAGGAAAATTTTTTAGTCTATAATATATGACTCAAGTCCTCTTCTAGAAAAGAATATATTTGATTACTTATTGATACTTGAATAATTTTTATTTTCTCATTGTCAGTCATACTATTGTCGATCGATGGTTACCGCAATTATACCAAATCACAATTAAAGCGGTCCACCCTCGTAGATACTATTTACGATGAAACCGGTTCAATCCAACATTATTGCAAACTTCAAAAGGGGGTCGATCGGTCATAGACGATTTTTCAGTCTAATCCGGTTTTGATCAAAACATAATCATATTTCTAAGTTATCGAAGAATAATTGGAACAGGAAATTTGAGGGATTTAGCATCGATAAATTTAAGAAATTTATAAATTTGGGAAATTATGTCGGTTTGCTTGATGATGTCAAGCCGGAATGAACTTCTCTTCATAATACTACGCTTTAGGATAAATTGTCACTTTGAAAAGTGAAATCTTTAAAGATCTTTTTCAAGATTGACTTAATTTTCACTCTTTAGAATGAGATTCCACTTCAAAGAATTTAGAGAGTAGAATAAGCATTTCTTATTTATATGAAATGTTTGCATCAAATTTCAAAAACTCATTTTTATAAAATCATTTATATATTAGTTTCTTACTGAAATTTTAAGTATAAAGTATAAAATAAAGAGATGTATTTAATTTTAGAAATTTACGTGAAAGTTCTTAAGTAATCAAAACTATACGCAGCTGCATTTTGCATATGTGTATGTGTGTATGAATTAGATAATATATGCATTAATGCAAGAAATTGCAGAGAATTAGTAGCACCTGTCAAACATAACATTTTCATTATCGAACCATTTCTGTTCAATTATTTTCAGAATGTCAATCTTTCTATTTTTTTTTAATAAATTCTGTTATTTCTTTGCAACAAGTCCTATGCTATTTTTTCTTAAATTTTAATCTTACATGCATAGAAAGAACAATTTAAAATATCTAAAAATTTACAATATCAAAAATAGAAATATAAGCTCTAATGAAAAAAATAAAAATTAAAATTGCCAATATGAGCTGAAATTGAATATAATTCAGTTAATTCTGTTAATAATAAAAAATTTTCTCAACTGTCCGTAAAAAATAATAATATAGACGTTTCGGTCTTGTTCTAAAATTTAGTTAGATACAGATCGAAAAATAATTTTGTTGAATTATCAAAATAATTATGTAGAAAGTCCAAATTGATCACTAGAATGAACTTGTTCTTTCTGTGTGCTTATTAAAATTATAAAAATTAATTATTTCTGTATTTGCAATGGTTATAAAAATAAAATTATTTCAGTGTCTTTTTTTTATATAAAAATTAACTTGTACTTTTTCAAAAAAATCACTGGTATTTATTTAAAATTAATTTCTCCTTCTTAAAAATATTCACTATTCTTCTCGTGGCATTTAATGAGCAACAAAACTATGGCGGCTAAAGATACATATATACAAACAAAGGTCTAACAAACTAGTTAAAGCTGATGTTACGCTACATGAAAACGTAGCAGCATAATGTACGTTAGCTGAATGTAGTTGCTGCTCCGACTCGGCTGGTCTCTACTCGGCGCAAAACTTTCATCGTCGAGAGAGCAAAGCAGGCCTGAGGCCCGGGGCATTCGATGGTCGACCGGTGAAGAGAACGGATCATCGTCAGTTATCCCGACTTGTTGCACGGCGAGCAAAACTGCGGGTAAAATGCCGTCAAGTTAATTTCATTGTTGTTGTCAAGTTGTAATCGTGAATTTTTCGTTCACATATGTTCGCGTTAATCGAATGTCATCAGATCCGAGGATATAATCTTGCGAGTGCGAGCTGACAAAGACGAGGGATCAGAACGCATCATGGAGAATCCTGAAGAAAGAGCAATCGCTCGACCATGTCGCAGTTAGTTCGAAGTTTAACCATTCAAATGATCTTGGATTAAGTAATATATTCGGTTATGATCGAGGAGTTGGTGACGAGTGCGTAGATAATCAAAGAACTAGCACAGGACTGTTAACTAGAAATATTAGTGCAAAGGAATTAACTGTAGAATCGTTAAGCGCTTTAATAAAAGATCAGGAAGGTATAAAATCTTGAAGAGTCTAAAGAGCGAGAGGCTTTTAAACTCTGGTGAAACACGACATTCTTAGATTGTTCAGATTGTTCTATCCAGAACATTTCGGCTTCATCAACTTCATTGGCTTTATCGGAGACGAGGGAAGAAATAAATTTCTCGTGAAAGTTCATAGTGCGCGAGTGCTTTCAAGAGACCCCTTGTGAGTGGATCTCGCGGATATTCGAGTGTTAAGGTGGTTCGTGGTTTGCTGGATCGTCAATGTGATCACGCCGTCGTCCCGCCAATTTGAGGAGAATAATGTTGATGTACGGGATCATCCTGCCCCTCGTGGCAAGCCTCGTGTATGCGCAAGGCATGTATATTGTCACGATATTTGTATTAGATTTCATAATTTTGAAAAGTGGTGTAAATTGAAGACAAAGACAAGGACTAGATTAAAGTTAGAGCCATGTAGAAATTCTAGAGTTTGGCCACGAGATAGAAAGATTTTGACAAAATCCCACGAGATAGAAAGATATCTTATCTCCTGGGAAAAATGTTCTTCCCAAGGACTTCTTCCATATACTATCTCACTTTAATCCTAGAATATATACATAGATCTCCCAGACCCAATCACTTGCTCGGTACACGAAGAAAAGAAAAGAGAGAATTTTATTGTATAATTTAATAATATAAGTTTGTTTAGTATCAACAACCTATACAAGTATATTCCTAAATCTCAGTTTCAAAACAAAAAAAAGTGTACAATTATTAATCTAAACCAAAGCCTATTAAAATTACAGTGGATTTTTTAGATCTATGATGCGTATTTTCAAAATTTTTCAAAAGGTGTGTGTTTTAGAGTTAATTTAAATATTAATCTTTATAACTTTAATTAAGATTATACAATAAGGTAATATAAATTATAATGAAATAGTGTACATATAGGAAAAAAATAATTATATTTTTCTCTCTTATAAGATTAATAAAATTTCGCTTAATAAAATCGCTCGTGGTCTGATTCTGTTATAAAATCTCTACGATCACGCGATTCATATGATGTCGAAAGTTTATATCGCAATATATTTTTGTTAAAAGGATTTAATGTTAAAAGGATTTAAAACTCGTCTCTAACTTACGTAACGATAAATATAGACTATTGATTTATTTCTCTAGAAGTCATATGCGATAGTTAAGATTGAAGAAATCTATTTCCACTGTGAAAACGTGATATAAGTCATCTCTAAAATTTATCGTTTACTTGAAACATGAGCTATATCTTATTTTATAATTATTTTATTAATTAAGCTTCAATTTGCATTTTTAAATTTCGAAAATTAATTAAACAAAAATGCTTAAGTTTTGTTATCTAAATACGCGCGCTAGAGGCATTTTTCAATTTTTTTATTATTTTTAATTAATTACTTAAACCTTTTTTTATTACAGTAATAATTACGCCACTTTCGAATTATATTTTCTATTTTTCTCTTTATCTTTTTTCTGCAAACAAGTAAAAAGACGGTTGCACAATTTAGATATAATCGAAGCGTCTCACGCAAGAAAAAAAAGATGCCTGTCTCACAAAGAGGATCTTTCCTCGCTAAAAACCTATCGCTTGCGATCGATCTCTTGCAAAATGCAAAACAGACCTAAGTGTGCATCCTCTCTGCGTCTCCCCGACGTCTTACTCAGGAGAGTGCATTCCCGAGTGCAATACTCCCAATTCCCAAGACTCTTCCAAAGATACATCAGAATAAGTCTCTCTAAACATTTATTTAGATTTTACTTTATCTGGGAGTCATGCATACTAGTAAAAAAGTCTCGAATGTGCGGAATTAAGAATAATTGCAAACGAATATTCGTTCAATAATTCGCAATAATTCCCGAGAATAATTATCAACAATAAGACTTTAATAGCCACAAGATTGACAGTGACTGAAGGCAGAGAATATCCACTTATTTCGCTCGATTTGTGAGAACGTCCTCTATTAAAATTTCCGAATGCAGAATTCTAAAAGAAGGAAAGTAAAGGATTTCTTCGATATATTCGCGTTTTATCCGCCTTGTCCCTGGCGAGCAAGGAAAGGAGTATAAGCGAGCAAAAACAGGCACCGCCCACTCTCGGTTCTCGTCCTCGCTGGTTTTCTGATGTCTCGAGGTCACCCGATATATCCGTATAGTTAAAGAGTCTTGCCATAATTGTCGCTCGTGTCGCTTTTCGCACATTCTCCCGGTTCGCAAAATAGCTAAAGTCGAAAACACTTCTTATCAGGATTTGTTTTCTTTTCTGACACCGTGGAACATATTCACTCGTGAATACTCTCTCGGAAGCAAGAACACCTTATCTTTAAATGCCAACAAGTAAAAGTCTTGGGATACACTGTCCCGTTCTACTTCGTGCTGCGCGTTTTGTTGCCGTTTAACAGTCGCGTTAATTCGTCATAATTTTTTCATCGCAGTAACAAATGTCATGGATTAAAAGTGCTTTGCACACATTCTATTTAATATAATTATACATTTTGCTATGACGCAAACGGACTGTCAGTCGTTAACTCTCGCATGTGAGAATGTGAGAAAAAATGTATGATGATAAATGTGTTCACGCGATCTCGTACTTTGATTAAACTATGCGATTATAAAAAATTTTCCGAAAAACATATAAATCAAGTAAATTGAAGAAATTTTGAAATTCGCTGCGTCTGAATTTGAAGCTTCAGGCTGGCGCATTAATTATTCAATCTTCAGACTTTGGTAACTCAATGTCAGTTCTGTGCGTTTAATTCCGTTAATTTTATATCAGTTTTGTGTCAATTTGTTAAAAATAAATGTGTTACTTTACATTAAATTGTATGATATTTCATGCACCACCTAGGATGTCTTCAGTAATACAAAATGTGCATCAAAGAATTAGAAACTGAAATTCTATTAAATGGCAACTGGCAATCATATATCTGTTTTAGAACATCAAAATTTGAAGTTGAAAGTTCGCTAAAATTAAATGGTGTAAGCTACATTAATGCACTCCCACAGTGAGTCAGAGAGTCAAAAGAATTCGAATTGTATGTACGTGGTAGGGTACACCGGAAATAGGGGAGACTCACCTGTCCCAACCGAAACACGATCTGGTAGCGACGTCCGACCTACTTTGCACTTTGAACCTTCTATTTTCTCCATAAGAAATAAACAGGCTCGAAACTAGACCGGTAGTGGTGAGAAACGGGATATGTAGATGATACGTTTACGTCGAGGCGAGCCGCTTTTCCATGGACCGTTATCCTTGAAACATTGAATTATCTAACGACGACTGGAACTAAGTAGATCGCCCACTGTATCGATCACTCTCTGTATGATCTGTTATCACCAGATTGATTTCGTCCTTCGCACGAGCCTGTTCCCGCATATTTCTTCCTTAATGTATACATAACTGAGAATTCCACCGGAAATATGCAATTTCTTTGCATAAGAAATTATTTGCCTCTAAAGAACAATTTAAAGTGTTTGAAAGATGAATACAATGTGCTCTTCGTGTTTGGCACATGAAATATTTTTTATCAAAAACTAAAAAATGTTTCTTAATTATTCAATAGAAAATCTAATAAATTTTCAACAAAAATAATATATAAACAGCTAGTATTTAAATTAAAACAAATTAAACAAATTTAGATACAGTTAATTAAATTCTTAAGCATAATAAATGTTACACAAAAAAAATTAATTAATTAATAGAGATATTCCGAAGTGTTCAGATTTCAGATTATTGAAAGAATTTAATACAAATCTACTTGAAAGTTGCTCAAAAGTTGCTTGAACTTTCCGTTATATCGAGTAGAATGTCGAAGTGTGGGAGGAGATTGGCGCTGCCCATACAGATTCGCGGATGAAAACACTCCTGTGTGCTCATGAAATAATCGAGCATAAATTCTATTTAGACATGTACCTGCTCAACTGAGCTTTCAAGATTGCGAAATGGAAAAAGCAAAGAAAACGCATACCTCCAACAATAAAAACGCAATATTATATTAATAAAAATTACGTTCCATTCGTGACAACAAGACAATAGCACGATATGGTAGACTTAAACGAATAATAAAATAGAATAAAATATTTATTTCCTTCAGCTTGTACTTGCTAAAATGAGATTTAGTTTATTTTAAAATTTATATATAACCACACACCTATTCCTAATAATTAGCTAATTTAAAATCCAGCAATTAATATATCAATATTATTTAACATACAATTCTTTTTTATTTTTAAAAATATGACTTTAAATTTGCGTTCGAATTATTTCCACAATATTTTGCTTTTAAATTACATAAAATTGAAAATTGATATCTTTTGTAATAGTTCAGTCTCATTTTGAAGTGCTGCAGTTTGATGAAACATGTATCATTGGACAAAATTTAATATAAAAATTGTTTAAAGTAGACTTTTTAAACTTTAAAATGCTTTTTTGAAAAAATTGATATGATGATTCTTTTTATCTAATTCTCCATTGTTGGCCCACATCTTCGTTCTTATCACTACTTTCTTTTTCAATTCTTTAACTCTCTCTTTCTATTTTCTCAGTATATATTACCTTTCACCATGTTTAAATTCTCATTCTGTATCTTTTTCCACATATATAATAAACTAATAATACGATAATAAATAGAAACTGGTATAGCTAAAATATTAAAACGTTGCGTTACTGCGTTTATTGTATTTTTAAATAAATTCTTATTATATCCTTACCATATCCTGCAAGAAATGAGTATCGACTCGTGAAGTTTAGCAACAATATACTTGATTAGAAGGTTTGCAGAGAAACTGGTCCTTGCACTAATGATTGTAATATACGCATGCACGCATACGCACGCAGACGTGACCGAGAAAAGCATTACTTTGTGAAAGTGTTACATTATATCAAAATTCCAACAGCGATTCTTCTCTCCGCGATTTTCTCCTAACTGTTACACGACAAACAATTATAACTCGTAATTCGATAAAATTATTTTATCCACCGATCGTTCTTAAATTTTTATAATTTCAAAATTCCAACGGCGATTCTTCTTCCTGCGATTTTCTCTTAACTGTTGCAAGACAAATTGTAGCTTGTAAAAATGAATTATTTTATAAGTGTTCTTAGATTTTTGCGATTGTCAGTTGAATAATATTACCTGCGGTTAGACTCTCCATTTTAAGTTAAGAATGTCTATATTATTAAGTATAAATCATTGGAGGCTGTATTATGAATCTCAATTAATACATTCCATGTCGCGTGGGTCATTTACTACCCACGTTGAATTTTCCGTTCAGACCGTTTGATATTTTAGCTATAAAAAGAAATGTAATCATCAAAAATATAGTAACTAAAAGAAGACAATTGAGAAC